CCATAAAACTAAACTGTACCTTCAGGTTCACTGCCTGTGACAGTGGAACTCAGCTGTAGAACGTATGTTGCAACAAATACAGGACTGACTCAGGAAACCTTAGTTCAAATCCTAGTTCATGTACTTACTAAACAGCAAGACCTTGGGATCATCAGTAAATATCACTAAGATATTTACTAAGTGTCTTTATTTACACAAAGGGAATAATGCCTATATCAGAAGGCGTTGGGGCACGTTTTAAAACAATACACAAGTCTTCTATACATTCTAAGGTACAGGATCTAGAATGTAAAGGTACCTTCTAGAGCTTTAAAACACGACGTAAATAACAAGGTTTTACTGTACAGGACGGCAGAGGGGCCAGCAGGAGCGGCTCCATCTGGTCGGGGCGGTCACCGCGTCCCTGGGATGGAGCGCCACCTCTCTGGGCGTCACTTCCTCCACCTCCAGAGCATGGTGACCGAGCCATCTCGAGGTCTGCGTGGAGCTCCGACAGCGGTGGCAAATGTCGACCCCACGGCCAGCGCTGGTCCCCTGTCTTTCTCAAGGAAGGGAAGCAACACTGACACAGAGGACCCTTAGGAACACCTGGCTCGTCTACCACAGGTAGGAAGGTGGCCAGCTCTATCCCGGTTTCCACAGGCCACACGTTCATGAACCATGAAATGTGCGAGGGGCCAGAGCCAGGTGCTGTCACTCAAAATGCAGTGACAGCAATCCTCCCCCTGTCCTTTGAGCTCACGGGAGAAAGCTGTTCAGCCGGTAGGAGGTCCCTCCTACTCAAGCCCTGACCCCCTGCTTGTGGTCAGGGGCAGGGGTGTCTATCTCATCCCATAGGTAACCCTTCTCCCTTCCTTCCGTAATTCATTGTGGGTCCATTAATTGAGCAACAACTTTTCAATATCGATAATTCATTACATTCAACTAATTATAGGAATATTATTTAGTCTTAAAAAAGAAAGTAATTCTGTCACTCACTACGTAGATGGACCTTGAGGACATGATGTCCCGTGAAATAAGCCAGTCACAAAAGGACACACGTGCGATCCCGTTACATGCGGTCCCCAGAGGAGTCAAACTCGGGGAGACAGAAAGCAGGATGGTGGCTGGGGAGGGGAGACATGGGGAGTCGCCGATTGGTGGGCAAAGTGCTTCCGCGCTGCAAGACGAGAAAGCTCTGCAGACAGGCTGCACGTCAGTATGAATGTGTTTCACAGCCCTCAACTGTACAGTTAAAAATGGTTAAGATGGTAAATTTTGTTATGTGTGTTTCACCTCAGTTAGAACTTTTAAAGTTAACTAATTATCTGATTACCTCGATAATCCTTTGGGACATTAAGAGCAACCAATGATTATGGATTGTCGCCATTTCCTTCTCCTTCCAAACACACCTCTCTCCTTTTGAATCCAGATGGGTCCTAGTTTTTTGAAATCCTTCACATATAAATGTTCATATTTGTGTCTCCTCCTTTGAAACAATGTGGCCTCTAAAGTATCAAATCGATACTCTTGTTCTAGGCTCCCAGCCAAATCTGTACCACACATCGTGCTAAGAAGGCGTTCTTTTTGTTGAACAGGCTAGCGCTAGCCTACTATCAAACAAGTATCTCTAGGGACAATTTTTGTATCAGTCATTCACAGCAGGGACGGATGCCTTTAATCAGTGGGATTCCTCCCTAGCTAATATTAACACAGGTAACGATTCTGAATAGGAGAGGAGGGCGAAGGGGAAGAGAGTGATTTCAGAATTTGTTGCCTTTGGAGGAAGAAGGATCTAGAAGAAGCACTACCATCAGGATAGCGTAGGGGTAGCACTGAACAGTAAGAGGACAGCAGAGTTACTGGGCACTCAGCGCTGGGAGACAATCAACAGAAGGAGAGGCAGTGGGGACGCAGAAGGGAAGGGCCCAGCAGAACGCACCGCACAGACGGGGAGACGGTGTCAAGCCCGGCAGCACTTGTCCGGGTCACTGACTGGCACCCGCCCTGGAGGGGCGGAGAGTCACTCCCGGCCGCTCTAGTCGGCACAGATGGTTTGCTGCTGGGAGAAGGGCCCGGGAGCCCTATGGTCAGGATGCTCCAGGTCCAGCTTCCCCGGGGAGCAGCGGGCTCCGGCTACACTGTGTCGGAGACGACTGCCTGGAGGGGGTTCCCAGGAGGGAGGGAGACGGAGGGACCCCGGGCACGGGCTGGGGGGTCGGGCCAACAGTGCGGACCTGCTGCTCTGGATTCCAAGAGACGGTCATCAATTTAGCTTCACCGTGGCCCAAGGGGGACTTCCCCAAGGGCACAAAGGGCAAAGAAAGGCACAAGACAGAAGCTTTTCTTATTTGCATTCACAGCAGTGGCTCTTCCCCTTCACCAAAACCCAGCAGCCCAGCCCAGGCCACACCTAGTGCTTTCCGGGCCGACCTGCTGACACCTGTGAGGGCAAATGCGGACACTTCTTGTCTCCCACACATGGCACCCGGCCCAGAGGAGCCTGTTCCCTCCCTTCAAAGCCCTGCTGGAGGGACCGCAGGACCCCGAGGGCAGCTGGTGGGCAAAGCCTCTTCTGACCACATGTTGGCAGCAGCTATAAAGAAAGGTCCTGGCCCCAGGGAAGACAGGAGCCAGGGGCCCTGAGACCCCTCCCCTGCCCCCTCTCTGGGCCACGGCTGCAGCTAGGGGTGCACTGAGAGGCGGGCCGTCACCTCGCTCGTCAGCGCAAAACTAAGCACGGGCCACTCAAGCCAGGCAAAAGGATGGGCCCAACTGTGCTCCTAACAACTCCCAGGGGAACAGCCCTTCTGTGACAAGGCAAGATGGAGATTGAAAATTCAGGGAAGGCTGCAGAAAGACCAAGCCATAATCACCCCATTACCAATAACTGGGCAACCAAAGCAAAGGTGGGTTTGCAGGGGTTAAAACTGCCTGGGATTTTGGTTGGGCATTCCCTCTTCCAAGTTCCCTCTTCCGTGTGCCCTAGACTTACAATTTAGAATTTCTATGAAATTCGGAGTGTGTTCAAGCAACCAGCTCTGATGATCAAATACCTAAGATTCTAAGAGAACAGAAAAAGAGATGATCGATTCCACCCAGCGACATCTGCCTTTCACACTTGAGTTTTAGTTCACGGTCATCGTTGCTGAGGTGGCCGCTTTTCACCTCCGCCCATGCTGCCGTGTTTTAAAGGATCTCTTCCTTGTCTCACGGCATCTCCCCCTCCCGTGAAGTCCTCAGAATTAGCAGCAAGCACAGCGTGTTGTAGATGAGAATACTTGTGCAACCATGATACTTACTCTATGATCACGGTGTGGCCTCACCCAACGTATTCCTGTAGGCAGGTATTTCGCCCTCACTCCACTTTCAGTATTAATTACATTATCAGAAAAATTATACTCAGTTTTAAAAGTTTGTCTAATCACTTGGAACAAACTGAGTTTTTTTTTTAATTAAGTTCTTCTGGTTGACTCGTGCTGAAATATGGATATCAGGTACCCCCCCATGTATATAGATCTGAGGACAGGGCTAGGGGAGAGGAATCAATTAAGTAATTAGTTGCCCCATCTTTTGAACACGACAGCAAGCAGTTTATCTTTCCTAGAACTGGCCCTATAAGAGTAAAAAGCTGCACAACTCGGCCACATCAAGAAGTACATTTGGGACATCGATCACCAACTCTTCATGGTTTTCTGATGTGTTCATTGTGAGCACACGGCCTGAACGCTAAGCCAAATCAATGCATGTGGATCACCAGTCAACGCGTGTAGACCTCTCCCAACTACCCTGGAAGCCCCTTATGAAGAAACTGCCTTGAACTTTTTAGGTAGCTGATCTTCCCCCAGCCCCACAAGGCAAGGTACACAATAGGTATTCAATAAATAATCGATCATCGACTGATTTCTCACCTTCACCAATGAGCCTGGGATAGGAACAGCAAACAAGTGTTGAAACTGCACGCTGTAACTCATCAGTTGAAAAATTAAGGCTCTGTGTTGGGGGGGGGGGGTTGCACAAGTATGAGGGTCTCTTTGATAAAAACAAAAAACAAAAAAACCTGTGGTGTGAGAAGCCGACTGCACTTAAAAGGCACGCTGTTCACCTTTGCCAGAGGTGAGGAGCATTTCCTAAAATCAAGATTTACCAAGCTGATCCTCTTTGTTCCCCACTAACGCAGTACAAGGTGTCCCATCAATTTTCGACAATCTATTCAAAATGTGAAGGTTTTTCCCTTTTCTTCCTTTTTTTTCCCCACCCTTTGAAGGTAATCCACTTAGTCCCCATTTCCAAAGCGCCTCCCAAATAGGGCAGGCGCGCTCTGGGAAGCCCTTGCTGAGATACTTCGCGGAACTTTGTTCTCCACATGGGCTATTCAGGCGCGCCCGGGTTTCCTCGGGTGACTCCACCGCCTCCCTGGTTCTTCTCACTTTGCCAACAGGAGTCAGGGTGATGCGAAGCTCCGGGAGGCGCTGACCATGGTCCTGGCCTCCAGCTCGGGAAGCGAGCGCGGAGCGCGCGCGAGGCGGTGAGGAGTCGAGCGAGCAGGACGCGCAGGGCGCGGAGGGGAGCAGCCGTCGGAGCCCCCGCCCTCCCGTCCCCCGGGGAGCCCGCGGCCCTTTACGCGAGCCCTCCACCGCACGCTCTGAGCTGCATCAAAAAAAAGGGTGGGACACCCAGCCACAGCTGCAATCGGAAGCCGCCCGGAAGGATTTAAGAAGAATGGAACCGCCGCCCATCCCCACCCCCCACCATGCGACCCTCAGCCGGGGATCGGCCGATCCTTTCCCCACCACCCTCCACCTCCCAAACCTGGGGAGGCGAGGGCAGTCTTTGTGGGCACACGCCGCCCACCTCCGAGCCCGAGCCTCTCGGCACCCTGTGCGGAGAAGGGTAGGGCAGGGTGGGGTGCTTGTCCAGATGTGGGGAGGGGCAGGACGGCGGGCACGCTGGGATACGAAGGAGGGGCGATCCCCTGCCCCGTCCTCCTTCTCAAACCTTCCCCTCCCCCCATAACCAACCTGGTCGTAGATGTTCTGCAGGGCTTCCTTGCCCGAGGCCCTTCGGATCTCCACCTTCCGGCCCGATTCAACAGATGGCTCCCCGCCGGCGCGCCGGCCCTGCCGGGAGTACGGCGGCTGCGGGTCGGGGCCCAAGTGGGCGACGTCCCGCTGCTGAGCCACCACCTGCCCCGAGCCCCGGCCCACCGAGAGCGAATCGAAGTCGATGGTCTTGTTCTCCGAGGACCCTTCCACCGGGCAGAACATGCCACAGAATTTCTGCCGGGGCTTTGGGCTGCCTGAACCCAGGTTTTTAAAAAAGGCAGGGACCTCTTCGTCCTCTGCCGCCTTCCCAGACTGCTTCTTCTCGGCCATGGTGCGGGGGCTCGGGGAGGGCTCCCTCCGTCCGTCCGTCCGCCCGCCCGTCCGTCCGCGGTCCCTAAGTCCGCCTCTCGCTGTGCTCAGCGCCCCGGCTGCTGCCGCGCTCTGCCTACCGCAAGGTGCACAGAAAGGAAGCGGCGCTGGCGAGTGGGCGACCCTCCCTCCCAGTCCCTCCCCCTGACCCCTCTATCTCCCCTCCCTGCCCACGCCCCCCGCCGCCGCGCGAGCTCCCGGCAGCTGCAAAGTTGGGTCTGGGAGGGCGGCCGCTGCGGCAGCGGGAGCGGGAGGCTGCCAGTTCCCGGCAGCGCGGGCGGGGGCGGGCGCGGGCGGGGCGTGGGCGGGGCGCCCGCGGGGGCACCGGGCGCCCGGGAGGGAGGGAGGGAGGGCGCGCGGCCCGGAGCCCCGCGCTCCGGAAGTGAAGCTGCCAGACCACCGGCGGACGGATGCGGAGCGAAGGGCCGGCTGACCGCTGTCAGCTCCCGGGTGAGTGCGCGGCAGGCCCGCGGGGGCGGAGATCCGAGCGCGCAGCCCCAGGCCCAGCGCCCTTCTCTCCCACCTGTGCGGCCCTGGAGCCTCTCCCCCAGCCCATTTCAGAAATGGCTGGAGGCTCCTTTCTTTAACCGGGGCGTGAACTGGATGGGGAAAGGTGGCGGAGGCGGGGGGTGGCAAACGGGCTGGCACCGGGACACCCGGGGAGAGAGGAAGGGGCGCAGTGAGGATGGGGAAGAGATGGCGCTGGCCTCGCAGAGAGGTGGGGGCTGTATCTCGCGCGGGACACCAAAGCTTCGGTCTACCCACAGTCTTCGGTGGGCTCTTGGGAGCAGAGGTTGAAACAAGAAGGTTCTCACTTAGTTCATCCACAGAAGTGGGAGGGCGCGCAGCATGGCGGGAAGAAATGCAGAGGGGCATTGCAAATGATGGGGGTGGGGTGGGGAGAGAGACAGAGGTCTACGGCCCGTGGGAGTGCAGCCAAGAGTGCAGTCTGCAAAGCCCGGCCCAGCACGACCACTGGTATATAGTGAGCGAGGGTGCCGACGTCGTGCCGGAGGGCGCCATGTACCGTTACCTGCACCCCTACGCCAGGAAGGGCGCAGGAGAATGTCTTGATTTGGTATCTTCCGTATCCCCCTAGAAAAGAGGAGAGGAGAAGGTGCCAATTTCAGCCCAGTCCCCAAATCTCCAGCCCTCTGGGTCTGGTGCCCCCTCCCCCCGTTGCGCACTGCGCCAGAGCCGCGTGGCCGAGGCATCAAGTGCGGGCGCGCGTGTCCAGTGTGGGGTAGGAGATGGGGTGCTGGCTGTGGCCAGATGCTTTGAATTGTGTGGCGAAGCAGGCAAAAGATTGTGGGGATTTATTGTGCACGTGCGCTTAGACCAGCCATAGCCACCGCTTTGCCGGGCATCCAGGAAGCATTTTGATTTGTGCCACTGACACGGTCCCTGAGGGCTCCTCGCTGCTCACTCGGGTCCCCACGTTTTTCCCTGTGTCGGTCTCTCCCTCCCGTGGGTCGCAGCCCCACCCCACGTTCCACAGTGGCAAAACCCTGCAGAGATGATGCCCGTCCTTTAGAGTCTCAAGAGGGAGGTCTGGGCATGCTCAGTAACCAGGAGGGGTTTGGGCCAAAAGGCTGTTTCCTGCAGGGCCATCGCTGCGGACAGTGTGACCAAGGATGTTGTCCCATTGTCAGCCCTTGCCCCTGGAAGAATTAAGTTCGGATGCCCCCATCCCCCGATTGTGAGGGACAGTTTGGTGAATGGAATTAAATTTGGAGGACAACCAGTCACAGTTTAAGGATGAGCCAGTCATGATGGCGGGGGGGTGGAGGGGGGAGTCTTCGGGCGAGAAGTTGAGAAGAAGGACGGAGAGGAATGCATGTGCTGGGGCTGAGAGAACCAGAGGCGGGCGCGGGACTCAGAACTGCACCTTGTGTGCTGTGCGTTTGAATCGAGTGCTTCCACACGAATCGCATCATTTCCGCGATGAGAGTGCTTTACCATCACCGCTCTCCCGGGCAGGAATCTGAGATTGAGAGAGACGGAGATGCTTTGTCCAAGGCCACTGTCTGATGAAAGGGTCCAGCAAATCCGGGGGGTCTTCTTTGTGAAAGTCTGATTCCTTGCCCAACTAATCCTTTCTTTATGTTAGAAAATACAAGGTTTTCACATTTTTTTTTCTTATCCAAGTATTTCAATCCATGGACTTATTGTGTATCAAGGACTGTGGATCACTTGCCATCTTTATATTTGAAGGTCGCCTTGCAGGGAGGGATTGCCTTTGGAGGAAGAAGCCACCCAGAGGTAGCCTCACGTAGCACAGCAGCTGTTGCGTGGACCTTGGAGATACTTCTTCCTGGGCATCCGACACCTTTTTATATCTCCTGTTTCCTCAAAATATTACAACAGAGAGTAAAGTCACCCCCCCCCCGTCAGAAGGGGAAAGTGAGGCACAAAAAAATCACTGGGCTCAGATCCCTGGGGCTGCTGGCCCAGGGTGTGATCCATCATGTTGTCCTCCTGGCCCTTGGCACGCGCCATCCTTGAGAAGCTTCCAGAAGGACGGGGGACGTGTGCCTGCTGCAGGAGTAGCTGCCTCGTAGCTGCCTCGTGGCTGCAGGTTTACGTCTGTGGACCCCACTTGGCTTGATGGAGATTTTCAGGCCCAGGAAGGAGCGGTAGGGCCCCGAACACCCCCACTGCACCTCAGCAGCGGGGAGATGTCAGGACCCTTCCCTTTTTCATTCTCCCTTCTCCACGGGCCTCCCTCTTGTTCCCTCTTTCTTCAAATGACCGCCATTCAAGTTCAGATGCTGTGAAGGAAGTGCCATGTTAGTAACTTAACATTCATAACAAAGGAAATACCTCGTTGTGCATTTGCAAAGCCTGACCGTACAAAACAGAAGAGAGTGAATTCATAATTCCAAGTTTATTTGGCCCTGAGATTTTAAAAAATTGTTAAACCTATGTTAAATTATTATGCATATATTATTATATTAAATATGTTGTTATATTGATACATTGATATTAAATTGGTTTTAAATGTTCAAGTGATTTGGATGTTTTAATCAAAGAACTGAAGCAACTATATTCTATAGTAGATTTAATTACATGGTGAAGAATTGTCATATTTTTGAATAAGTGCATTAACAGTCCTCATTATTGGATATTACTGAGCCATAAAAACACACCATTATTATTTATGTGTAACGGGGTAGCATGGCTTGGCTGGAGCTAAGAAGGACTGAGGCAGGGCCATTGTGTGGAGTTTGGCGACATCTTCCTGCACTAGAAGCGGAATAAACACACTCCTTGACTCTCTGGAACACTTGGGAGCACACAAGCAGGTATGTAGCCACGTGTCCTGATTCCATCCTTCATGTGGGAAGGACCTGAGTCCTGGCCACAGCTGGGCTCCGACATCAATTAACATGCCCGATGAGCCAGTGGTGGGGAAGGCAGCTTGCCCTGACCCGTGAGAAAACAAAGGTCACTGTAGCAAAGGGATCGGATAGAGTGGGGTGGGCATAAATACAATACAGGGTGGACCCCCAGTCTACCCCCACCCGCTGGAGTGTGGGCGCCCCCCGGGAAGGAGAGGGCGCTGTGGTACCCGCCCCTCGTTTCACTAGGAGTCCCAGCCGCTCTGCTCTGAGACTTCTCCCCACGAGTGGAGGCCACCGCACACTGACCAGGGGGATGCGCGGCGGCAGAGGCCTGGAGAGCGAGAGAGCAGCTCCGGTCCGTGCCTCGGTCCCGGCGAAGGGTCGGCGCCACGCCGTGGCCGCTCGCATCCGGGAGGGAAGCAGCGGCCACGGACCTGCCGAGCCGCCCTCCTCGGGGCAGGTCTAGAGACGGACCTGAAGCGCCGAGGTCCTGCCCGCGGGCGAGGCTTCGCGGCTGCACTGGGCACGAGCGGACCTGAAACCCGTTCCCTGGGGGGCTGTAGCCCAGGAGTTTAGCCGGGACGCTCGGAATCCTAAGGGAGCGCTTACCTGCCCCGAGAACTAGTTGTCCCCGTGGAGTGAGGGCGAACACAGGCTCGTGACGACGGCGCCGGCGCTGCTGGAGGACCGGGGCCGGGCGGAGAGCGCGGACGGCCGCGCGTCCCTGCTGGTCGCCGTGGAGTGCGGCCAGGCCGAGATCGGGGGGGGCGCTCCGGGGGGCGCTGAAGCCTGCGGGCGGGTGCAGGCCGCTGGGTAGCTGTCCCAGAAGCCTGAGAAAGCCGGCGCTGTCCCGCTGCAGCTCCCGGAGAGCCCAGGGCGCGGGGCGGAGGGGGGGGGGGGGCGGGGCGGGGGGGGTGGTGTCTGGAAAGTGGTCTTTACGACCTCTAACCAGGACGCTGAGTCTCTTGAAAGACTGAACCCCTTTCTAGAAAAAGAGGGGCAGACAGTCCCGGGTATGTTCCGAGCCCTTGGCCAAGAGGGAGCGTCTCCAGCCGCATGCCCTACATGTCCCCGAGCTCCTGGCCCGCGTATTGGGACGGGCAGTGGCGCGCGCCCCTCCGCCCTGCTCCCCACGAGGCACCAGAAGCTGAAAGCGCTCTCGGGGAGCGCCATGCCGCACCCGGAAGAAGGGTCCTTCGAAATTTGGTGGGAGCAGGCCCCGGAGATAGCCTAAGAGTGGCCGGTGGCAAAGGCAGAGAAGAAAAGGTGGCTGATGGGGAGCCTGTGGGGCCTCGCCCTGGGCCTCATGCGCATTGTGTAGGCGGACAACCCTTCTGTAAGCGCAGGGGAGTGTTTGGAGGCATTCAAGCACGTGTCCAGGACCTGCCGGGTGAGGTGTCTGAAGACCTACCAGGAGGAAGGGGAGAAAGTCTCACTCCACGTGCTGCGGTGGAGACCCTGCTCCGGAGAAACAGGCCGTGCCCAGGAATGTGGCCGGTCAGGTCCGCCTGGAGCAGGTCAAGGCTGGGGCGAGACTCAGTGAGGTCTTGTGGTGCAGGCTGAGGGAGGTCAAAGACCAGGGGCCGCCCCCCAGCTTCCTTCAGTTAATGACGGTGA